TTGGTTGTTTACACCACACGTCACTACCTGTTATTATAAATTTTGTTTATGGACTTAAATCCTTAAAACTATTTCCTATTCATATATTTTGAAATAATATTCTTGTAAAACATTTAAAGACTTAATTACTTGATTGCCATCCAATCGGAAACCATTATCGCAAGTAAATCTATAGCCGATAGGTATGAATCCATTGCTGGTTTCGTCAAACACCGGTCCGTACGTCGAGTACAACGGTATGTCCGGTGAGCCACAGGAGCCGCGGCTATAGTAGCGTATGGGCAGTGTCTCCGACACGTGCAGCTCACACACCGTCACATCTGTGACCCCGAAATCGATGGTAACATTCATCAACTCTTCGGACCGAATGGCCGCGAAGTCCTCCAACTTCTGGACATTACTCTGGTCTCGGAGTTCGCAAACAAATGTGTATTTAAAGAGTTTTTCGTTGACTTCCACCGGCTCGGGGGTCCCCTCAGGCTTACATACCCTGTAGTCACTGACATATACCTGGCGTACGATTGAGCCATTTTTGCGAAAATCTAGTGCCTGGTTCATGTTCGCCGTGTTTACTACTATCTCCACGTGATATACCTGTCCGATGGCCCACTTGAATACGAGCCGCCACTCGAGGGACGTTACGTTGGCTTTGACTTTGGAGTGAATGCATTCTCCGGGTGTGGAGGGCTGACCGAAAAATGTCATTTGTTGTTGCTTTTGGTATTCGCTCAGGTAGTTTGACGTATAATACAATTGGTGCGAATAGTATATATTGCTGACACTGTGGTTGCCAAGGTTGACCATTTCGATGCGGTCTAATGTGCGCCGAGGTATCTCTCGTACTGTATTGTACAATATATTTATATATTATAGTTTAGATTATTTAGAAATTTAATTATAAGTATACTGTAGTCACAATAACCTATTCTATAGCCGGTACCTATAATAGTTAATTTATTGAATACACAATTTCATAAGTAATATAAAAATTGACAAGTAAACCAACAAGTAAATTAACAATAAATGTTCTCTAAATTTATATTTTATTCAAGCCATATAACTTATTAATATTACAAACAGTACCATGTTAATATTAATGCTGTTTTATTAATAATTATAAATAGTTTACTCATGTAAATTTATATTAATATAATGAGAAGTTAATTGAAACAAATTAAAATGATTAGACTAAAAATACTGAACCGCATTGAGGTATGTCTCCAGTCCAACGACTTTTATTACACTTTCGTCGAGCATTTCCAATGAGTTTCATATCAGTGTATTCGCAATAGTAGTCAACTATATCGTCCTCAGTGTAGGTGCCCAACAGCGGTCGCACCTTCGCGTGCACCGGCATAGCCGGGAAACTACAGTCACACTCAACCCATATAGTTTGATATAATACTAACGTTATTATGATAAGTATGTATTTTAACATGTTAATATATTACAATTAACTTTTTATAAATAAAACTATTTCATTATTTTGTTAAAATAATTTCTGTAGTGAAAAATATTTAAATTTGTTTCATACACTTATGCTAATGTATGAAAAATTGTAATTATTTTACACTGTTTGTTCAGTGAATTTGATTTTACGCCACATATTTGCTGAAAACATTCATCACCTTGATGCTGTGCAAATAATTTACTATTGCTATTCGTATATTTCTATACAAATTGCCTGTAATTTTGTTTATTATATTTTTGTGTACTTTATTTGACCACTAATTTTTAATGATCACTGAAATCGTATTAATTTGTTTCATTCATTAATCGTATTTCATTTTATTTTGATTTAATTTAATTTACTTTTGAATAGATATTTGTCTAATGTTTAAACAGTACAAATATAGTCTACTATTTTTGATTGTAGACAATAATATAAAATGAATGTCTATTTGCTATAAAAACGATCGGTCGGTCGTGTCTCGATATATTTTTTCACATTAATTAAGACGACACTAACACTGACTACTAGTGCTCCACATACTGTCCAGAGATCAGGTATGTCGTTGAATAAGAATATTTGCCACAAATATGATAGTATAACATATGTAAACATTTTGATAATAGTGACTACAAGGGCGTCCTCTTTCTGGAGGGCTATTATCAGACAGAATCGACTGATGGCCGCGAATATAGCCATCCCTGCCATCGA